ATAATACCCTTAATGAAAAGAAGTTGAAGTTTTTGTAATGAAAGCTGAATTAATACGGAGCAAAAAAACAAAATACAAAAATAGAATTCTACACAGATCTGGTCTACAATACTACCACACCAGATTTGGTGTTGCCAACCACCATCTCTTGTGCCACCGCCGCCAACACTGTTGCCGCCGTCTCTTCTGCCGTCGGCACTGCCGCCGTCTCTTCCGCCGCCGCCGCCGCTGACGTCACCAATGTGCCGCTGTTCTCAAGAGAGTCTTCATTTGCCACTTCCGTATTTTCCAGCGCCGCCGCCGCCCTATGGCGAGCCCTCCGCTTGGACTGCTGTGAGGGAAGCTAATTCGTGTCAGTCTTAATTGATAACACACAAATTTTACATTGATTTTGTTTTAATGTTATCAGATCTATTTCTTCAATTTTGCTTCAGTTTTACCAAATCTATCTCCAGATCTGTTTTATCTGATGTTTTTTGTTGATTTTTCTACTTTTTTTTTTCAATTTTGTTTTGGCTAATGTTTTTTATATTTAATTTATATTTGACAATACAAAATATAATTTTTGAAATCTGGTTTCAATCATTATTTTTGTAATTTTTCGGATTATTTTATGAATTGAATCTATAATTGCTAATGTTATTTTTGCACTTATTACCATAGTTTTGCCATTTCTTTTGTTACTCAATCGGGATGGCAAACAGTGCCAAAATTTTATTATATACAAAAGATGTTATTTTTGCATTTATTGTCATTTGTGTATGGCTCAAAATACATGAAGATGAGAATATTATGATGAAAAATGACATTTTTTGCCAACATTTTTTTTTTATATCATTTTGTTGCCAACATTTTGAAAACATGATATTTGTAAAATAATTTTGCCAAACATTTATAAAACATGGCATTTGTAAAATACTTTTTCCATTTTTTTTAATGTGTAATTTTCCATCTTAATACATTCAATATCATAAAAATGACATAAATTTCAAAAAAAGTTTTCGAAAAATAAACATTAGTTATAGAATTTTCAGATCCAAAATCCTTAAATTGAAATTTTTTAAATGAAAAAATCAAAATTCAGTTTTATTCAATCACCGAATGTTTGTATTTTAATAATAAAAAAGTCAAATCTGATATAAGATTCCTCAAAGGAAAATTATAAAGCATATGAAAAAAATTGATAGACCAAATAAAGGAAAAGGGGAGATTGAAGCATGATAAATTTAGATCTGGAAGGGGAAAAGAACATTAACTTAAAAATCAAATCAAATTTTGGTTTGACGCTCCAAAAGGTTTGCCGCTGTGCAAAGGAGAAAAAAATGGAGAAGAAGGGAAAGAAGAAGAAGACGACGAAGAAGAAGAAGAAGAAGAAGAAGAAGAGAAAGAGGAGAAGAAACTTACCTATGATTATTACGTTGTCCGCTGATAGCTGGAGTTCCGGGGAGAAATTCACTGCCCAAACCTTCGTAATCCACCGGCGGAGAAGAACTGTGGAGGAGGTCAAATAGACGAGTGCGTGCCAGAGGAGAAATGGGAGGAGATGGGAGAAGGCAGAATAAAGAGGAGAGAAAAAGGTGTGATGGAGACGGAAGATGCCTGACAGAAGGAAAGGCAACAGACAAAATCAAATTAATTTAGGGTAGTTGCAAAGAGGGTATAATTGGAAAAGGGAATGAGCCGGTCAACAATAAACTCCTATATACGGAATAAATCAGCAAGTACTCTTATTTTGGAACTTCCTTATTGATTTAGTCCTACTAAGGACAATTTCTTTATTAAGTACATATATACATACCATGGCAATCACTCGAGAACGTAAAATTTGTGTCCTCTTGGTTAGGGGCGGACCGAGAAAATTATTTTTTGTATATATATACACTAAAAAAATTGTGGGGTGGGGGCGGTAGCCCCTGGGTCTCTATTATGGTCTGCCCCTGCTCTTGGTAGCCGACAGAAATCCCATCTTGATGTTGGCTCGCCTCCTGGGGATATTTAGTGTTAGTCTTCCTATATATGCTTTTGGCGAGGGAGTCGATCACCATGGGCACAATGACCGATAGCATGGCTACGGCGTGGCTTGTCATTGAAGCAACATGACCGCAACATGCCAGGTATTACTTGAAAGAGCTAATCACGTAATGCATGCATAATCCGGTGGTGAGGATTATCCAGGAAGCAAACGATTTAACAAATCCGAATCCCTCGCCACAGGATTCATGCATGTATTACCTGGCCCTTTCGACATGTTAAATTAACATCTGAATGATTAATATACACATACGTATATCTAGATAGACAATATATATAGAAGGCTGAGGCTACTAATGAACTAACTGATTGATCACACCAAGTACGTTTAATTTCTACACACATAAGTATGTGAGAGAGCTAACACACGCAGGGTGTATGATCGACATATATTGGCAAGCTGCCGCGCGTAGCATGCATTATGCGTTTAGTAGTTTCTTCCTTTCAATTTCTTTGACACACTTTTCTTTTTTAGACATTTCTAAATGAATGTCACACTTCTCTATTTCCTTATTTGGTAAACATCTATGTCAATATTGTGTCAAATAGTGCAAAGCAGTGTCACACAGTGTCCAAACAATTTACTCTACATTAAAATTAAATTACCCTTAGTCTTTGTGAAGTCAAAGTGTGTCAAACAAATTGAAACGGGGGAGTAATAACTATGGAGTACCAAGTATTGTTTGCAAAAAAACTATCAACTATTATCTACGGAGTATATGAACATATTAGTTAGAGCCCAATTTGGTAATACTAAAATTGGCTGAATCGGTTAAAATGTGTTAAAAATTAAAAAAATCTGACTAAAGTGGTTAGATGGACCGATTTTGCTGAATTATATTTAAAATATACTACGTAGTACGTATTTTATTAATAATATATAATAAAAACAAAAATATTTCAAAAAATAGCTTAAATGTCCACTGCAATAATTTTAGTCCATATAGCCAGAAAAGTAACTTCAACCTTACTTATTTTGATTATTACATAACTCAAGGAACAAAATGATCAAAGTTACGCATTTGATGAAAAAGCTAACGGGTAACACTGTTAATCTGAAAAACAGGGTCTCTAAATAGGCTCTTTATTTAATAGTTTTTGTTTATGTGCAATTTATATGGAGTATATATTACGTTAGAGAGTAGTATTTATAATTTGGTTCTCATCTATTACTTGTATGATCGCAATGATGTACTTGTAATGGTTCAGCGATGATGAGTCTCCTCACAACCGTGTATTTGTTACTCTACAGCACCTAGGACCAATAAGGTGGAGAATGTTGGAGGTATTGGTCCTACCAAGGCCTCCCTTCCACTTATTATGTTAAGGCCTGCACCCTATGTTTACTCCTACTTCCTACACTGTTACTTATCTAGCTAGCCTGGATTTTCCTATCCGTTGCCAACTCTTATTGACTTGGTATTATTTGTCTCTTGGCCTCCTTACTTTTGCTAGCCTGTCTCGAGCCCCACCTTTGTTTGTCTTTGACACCCATGAGCAAATAATAGCCTAATATAATTGAGTGCTCCTCTTCCCTTTTGAGTGACACGGTGAGTTCAATACCAGTGAGCTCCTCTTCCTTCCTGAGTGTGGAGTTAGAGTGTAAGGGAGTGTTGAACAAGGTGAGTGGAGTGGCTAAACAATCCTGGGTGGTGTGTGAGAGTTGTTTTGGTTGGAGACCTGAGCTGAAATACACACTCAACAAGTAGAATCGGTATATTATACAGAGTATTACTATATGGCTTATCAAGGTAATAACTGAAGTGGAATTGACTCTCACAAGTTGAAGTGGAAGGAGTATCCCACGTACTCAGGTAGTATGTATGCAAGTGTATAGCTAGTTTGTATGTGGTTGTTCTCCAAGAGCAAGACTAGATGATTTTGTACGTGAGAGAAAAAATGCTAAGGATAAAGCGGAGAGTATGTGTTGGAGTTAATCTTGTTGTTTATATTTTCGTCATGTTTAATTTAGTTTATTTGGAGTCATTGATGCATTTTAGACTAGAGTGTTAGTGCACGGCGGGATGAGTCATGCCAAGTTGTGTGCGTCGCGTGACACCGTGCATGTATTGTAGCGGTACTAATGTGCGTATGTGCCGTTACATTAGTGTTAGTCTAATTTGGGTCAATTAGTTAAGTTGCATTTAGTATTACATTATGTTATTAGTTAGGCATGCATGTTACCCCATATACGTATGTTAGTTTAGTACTCCGCATTAAGTTAGTAGTGTGCGTATGTAGACATGTAGTGGGTAAGTGCCTAGTGGGTTATGGATGTAACTACCTGCATGTACGTATGTTAGTTTATAAATGGAAAAGTGTGTGTCAAAGCTAAGTTGGCTTTGAGCACAAAAAAAAAGACTACGTGAATGCTTCCCTTTTATCTCTTACGTTCAGTTCATACGCATGCATTAATTTAGATCAAATATTAAGCTTATCTTCTTCCGTTAGCTTAGCAAATCCAACAGTATATATGTTTATCGGAAATCAGATACACATACATATATGCATGGAGTACTCACGGTCAGAAGACTTAATTTGCTCCTATAATATTGTTTATTGCTATGATCTATAAGTATCGGATCAAACTAACCACGTCTAACCAAGCATTTTGAAATTCAAATTTGATTTCAAATTGCACGTTAATGTTAAACTTGGCCAGCAATATTACTTGAGCAACTAACTTCCGCACGCTACATTTGATGTTTTTTTTCTCTAAAAAAAACCATTCCAGAATTTTGTCCCAAAAATAAATGGCTTTTTGACATGAATTAATTTGTCAGTAATGGCATGTAATCGTCTCATTTTATTATGAGCAGCCTGTACGAGCCCATCCATAATCTACTGCAGCCAACCGCTCTACAAATTAAAGGATTCAAGCTTTTGAGACCATAGGTTTATTGATACCTGTTACAAAGTGTATTACTAGACAAGGAAATTCTACTACAAAATATGACATTTGATCAGGATGGAGTGATCATATCAGAAAGAAAATACTCAAGACCATAATACATTTAAAAATAAGAATAAATATAATGCACATTGCTAATGATATTAATTGAAACAAAACCAAAACTATGTATTCAATTGGAATAAATAAATAGGAAGTATATATTTATTACTAAAATTCTACACCATAAATAAAAGACTTCATGATCACCAATCATATCTTACAGGCATGTACCTAGCTAGCTAATTAAGCCCACATGGCCAAGATAGACATCCCAACACATCCCAAAAGCACGGCCAAGCTAGAAACAATACATGCATGTGTAACTTGCATTGATGCTCCCTTGTAGCTTTTGGCCCATGAAATCAGCAGCCAGAAGATCTACCAAAGCCATATAAATGGGAAGGCAAGCCAACGATCCGTTAAGCAATCCTTCGGTGATAAGAGCACGGGGACTGTTCTCTTTATATGTGTTGGATAATCCTATCCCCACCGCTATCCCCAAGGGCGTTGTCACTGAGAAGAAAAACGCCATGCTCGCCTTCTTTAACAAACCGTATTGCGCCTGCATGTGGGCATTTGTGTGATAAATTTGTAATACAACAATACTAACTCGATCTGTAACTAAATTAAAGGAACTATTGAAAATTTCTTTTTATCGAGTAAATTTTACTGTAGGATAAGATATATATATACTAGTATTTGACATTATTTGCATTATACATTCATTATTGTTTAACAAGACTTTAAAATAATGAAAGTAATGATGAAGATCAAGAGCAATGTTGCTGAATCTTGGATCTTTTTTTCCTCCATAATTTGAACTTTGAACTGTGCAGTGGATGATTCATCCATATGAAGTACTACCTCCCTTCTCTTTTAAATGCAACGTTGGACTTTTTGCACTATTCACATGTTCTACTTTAACTACGTTTTATTTATTAATGTAATAATATATATTTTTGAAAAAAATATTATTAAATTTTTCTCATTATAAATTTTCAAAATCTATTTTTTAAACTTTTCTTACTAATCGAGAATTATATATATTAATGGTCAAAGTTGTGCCTCGGCAAATGTGAAATATTGACTGTTGCATTTATTTAAGAACGGAGGTATATATTATATACTATATCCTCGTACTAAACTACTAGGTACGAAGTGTATGTGAGGCTGAATGATCCTATCTTTGTAGCTAATCCCTTGAGCACATGGCCTTCTACGCACGCCACACTTATTGCTTACTCAACCACACTTAGCTTATTCCATGCCACAGGCGTGCCCATTTTTTGTTATATAGTTCATAGTTGGACAATTGTAATTTTTTGTGGGCTAAAGGGTCAAATAGGCTCAAGTACCCTCCTGGATTGCTCAATTTACTCCCCGAACCCAAAAAAGCTTCAATTAGCACCCTGAACTCAATAAAAAGATCCAAATTTGACTTTTTGCAAGTTACAATCCGGTCACCAACGTCACCTCGTAGGGATCCAACTGTGCAAGTGATGTGGTCAAATAAGCCCCTGAACCTGATTAAATCGTTCAATTCACCCCCTCAACTCTAAAAAAAGTCAAATTACGAAAAATAGAAATAAATAATGAAAATAAAAAATAGCATAAAAAAATAGTCGAAAATATAAAATACAAATATGAAATATTTATATTTTTTTGGGTAAATTCAAAAGAAAGAAATTATGAAATAATATATAAACTAAAAGAAATTAATTCTTATCTACAATATGTAAAAAAGACTTCATTATATTTAATATAAATAATATGAACATGTAGTTACTATTTTTATATGTTAATTCTTATTCCTATGGATATAAAAAAGTGCAATTAGTAACTTCGGAAAATTAAAAGTAGTTACATAAAAATTGTTTATATATTTTTAGTATATTTTTAGATAAATTAAAAAATATGAAACGAAAAACTACAAATGGATAATTTAAACATAATGCTTTGTATAAATTATCAACCAAAACCTAAAATTTGTGTTATATTACAAACCATTAGATATTATGCATAAAATAAAATTTTAAATATAGATGGTAGAAATACACTGTTTATTTCTTATATAAAATATAAGTAGTAGTTATAAAATATGGAAATAAAGCTAAAGAATTCCCGTTAATGATAAATATTTCACATTAATATATTTTATATTTTCGACATGTATTTTATTTATTATTAATTATTTATTTTTATTTATTTTATTATTTCATTTTTTTTGAAAATTTTAACCTCTTAAGGGTTGAGGGGGTAAATTGAGCGATTCAGTCGAGTTCAGGGGTTTATTTGACCCCTTAAGTTGCCACGTCACATGCACTGTTGGCACCCTACCGGGTGACCGGATTGAAACCTGCAAAAACTGAAATTTGGATCATTTTATCGAATTCAGGCTGCAAATTGAAGCATTTTTGGATTCAGGGGGCAAATTGAGCAATTTGAAACGATTACAAGGACATATTTGACCCTTTAGTCTTTATTGTTATGCGGCTGCCGGCTTTCATGTTTTGCTCCTTCCACTTCTACAATATTGCTCCTGTTTCTTTCCTTTTTTGAGCTATTATAATACTACGTACGGAGTATTATATACTCATATTATACTACTACCTCCGTCCCAAAAAGAGTTGCAAATTTGACTTTTCTTAGTCAAACAGTCTCGTTTTGTTCACTTAATTACGATGCCAATTTTTAATTATATTCTAATTTGGAGTTTATAACTTTGAAGGGATTTTAATGAAGTTTTTGAATATGTAAATTTTAATTATTAAAAATTGAATTAATTATACATACGGAGGGTTGACTTTAATTATTGGTTGACAAAAAATTGTTTACTTTGCAAAACAAATTGGGACGGAGGGAGTAGAAGTGTTATCTGCCCTCCATATGTATACTTCGGAAATTTCAATTATATCTCCGTGTTAATTAATTTAGTTAATTTTGTCTAAATTTTTCTAATTTTGCCTTAAATGTTAATTAAAATGTTCACTACTGTATTAAATAAAATGTTGATTTTGTCTAATTTTGCATTACGGTAGTCTAAATTTAAAATGTTCTTTTTATTCTGAGTAAGTTTAGTGTAGATCGGTACGATATTTGACATTATGTTTCATTATATATTCGCTACTGTATCACTACCTCTGTTTTTTAGTTGTAATATTGGAGCGTTTTACTATATCCGCATGCCCTACTTTGATCGCATTTTATTAATTTTAATGGATTATGTATTAACATTTTGAAAAATATTATTAAATTCATCTCATTTGATTTTTTTCACAATTTGAATTTTTTAATTTGTATTGATAAGGAATAGTGAATTGTGTGTTGACAAATGTGAAAATTGGAACGTTAGGCTGCAATTAAAAAAGAATTTAAGAGGACTGCTTTATCATCCTAATTATCAGACCACTACCTTAGCTTCCACATATTTAAATGAATTGGGTGTGTTTGCAATTAATTAAATGAATTTTGTTAGGTAATAGTACAGAATTGAAAATGCATGCCTGCAAAATGGAGCTCTCAAGTCCCATCCCTTCAAACATCTGGTGGAAGCATAGTGCAGCAATAAGTCCTTTGATGCTGCAACTATTGCTTGTGGCTCCAAGGGAAAGCCCAACACCTCCGACTATATATTTAAAACAACCAACTTCCAAATTAAACTAATAAAAGTCTAAAACATAACATCACACTAAAATCAAAGTGTTATATTTTTAGCATGTAATTAACTACGACGTACCATGGCAATCGAGCAAACTCGACCGCAACATGTCGAAAGAGTCCGGCAAGACATGCATGAATCCTGTGGTGAGGATTATCCTGGAAGCAAGCGATTTAACGATGGTGAAGGCGACGCCGACGTGGTCTAGGGAAGGGACTGACTGGTAGGAAGCGGGAGAAAACCCCCTATAATGCTTGCTAGCCAAGGCCCAAGGGCTTTGTACTGGTTGGTACATGGGTTTTGGGATTCAATCCCACACTTGTTGTGGCCCTAGGGTTTGGGGTGAAACTAATGATGAATGAAGATCAAGAACAATATAATATAATGCTGCTGAAGTTAGACTAAATGGTTTATTAATACGGAGTACATAGGCACGTAGTATAATTAATACGATAGTATATAGTACGTAGTAATATATAGGGAGTGTGAGAGGCTACTAATTTGAAGTTTTGAACTAAGTTATGGATCATACATTCATACAAAGTATGTGACACGTACATGCAGAGAGTGTGTCCATTGGCACGCTAGCTGCCTTGCATCCGTAGTTATCTCAATACGTGATTTAATTTAGTTATCATTATTTATTTCCAAACAACACTAATGGAATTTAGTTTTATAATATAAAATATAAGTGGTGATAGAAAATAGATGTGTAATGTGCATTATGTGTTACATATAGAGAGAAAGAAATATTCATGTCCGGAATTCCTCACAGGAATCACTGTCCGGACAGTGGCGTTTTGGACCTATTCCCTGTGGGATGTTTTCATGAAAACACAGTTATTTTAAAAAAAATTATTTAACTGTCTTCTCAAATGAATTTGTAGCTGAAATTTTTGTGTATAAACTAGACTTAATGAGGAACATTCTCTAAAAAATTCATGAAAAATTTCAACCGGGTACCACCCCAAGCTGCGGCAGACAGACGGAGCCTCTTGTCCTTCCGGATGGACATGATCTCTTTCTTATATATATATAGAGGAAAGTTCATGTCCGGAATTCCGGACAGGAACCGCCGTGCGGACGGCGGCGTTTGGCCGCTTTCCCGGTGGAATTTTTTGATGAAATTTTTATGGCATGTTCTCTATCCAGTCTAGTTTATCCACAAAACAATTCAGCCAAAAACTCAATCCGGATGGTCGTTAAATGATTTTTTCAATTTAACTGGTCCGGAATATGTATTTTCCGGACCAGTTAGCTTGAAAAACTCATTTGAAGACCTTCCGGGATGAGTTTTTTGCTGAAATTTTTTGTGGATAAACTAGACTTGATGGAGAACATGTCATAAAAATTTCATCGAAAAATTACACTCGGAAGGCGGCTAAACACCGCTGTCCGAACGGCGGTTCCGGTCAGGAATTTCTGACCGGAAGAGTACTCATATATATATATATGTTCATGTGAGAACTTATTCTTAGGAGAGCAAAAAAGAATAGATGTGAGACATTGGATTAACTTCTAATTAACCATGTGCCCAAATCTTCCTAGAGGGTATTGAAGTCAATACATTTCTTTCCAATTCACACTCATCTCTACCTTAGAACTGTTTCCCTATTATTTAGGAAGTGATAATATTCTCTCTATTAATTTCCTTTCCAATTCACGTTTCTTAATTTCCATTACTTTAATCTTCATCGTGGGCTCATCTTTGTAGCCTCTCAAGCAGGATGACTTTTGGAACAAGATCATCTCCTCTCTATGGATGCTAGTAAGTCGATTTAGTTTGCGTAACTTTTTTATGAAGTTTATCAAACTTATATAATTAACATCTATATCTCTATAATCATGGATTCTCCTCATTATTAAGTTTATTGTTCCTACTATTCATGTTCATCAATTTACAGTTTATCTTCTCATACTAGATTAGATTCATAATCATTTGAATACGATTGCTTAGTTTTTGCAGAGCTTCATTGAAGAAAAAGTTTTTGATGCACTTACCATGCTTTGGTCATACACTTTCTTTAGGTTTTAATTTTTTTTTTCTTTTGTTGCAGATATGATGCAGTACCAATAGAGCAATTGTGATCCAGTTGAAAGAAAAAGTGCATTTGATTTTGTGAAAAATGTCGATATAAAGTTATAAAAAGTTTATTATAATAGTGCACTTTTGTATGTATTTCCAATGCACATGATAAAAGTGCACTTTGTTTTGTAAGAATGTATGCAAAACTCTAGAAAGTGTGATATAATTTCGCACTTTTGTATAAACTAAAGTGCACTTTTCTATTCATTTGAAGTGCACTCTTGGTTAATACTCTTGTATATTTATTTTCGTTTTATTTAAAACAATTTGATCGAGTTTAGAAATGCACAGTGTAGGATTTTCTTAAAACAAAGTGCAAGTTAATAATGTAAACGTGCAGTTTACAAAAGTGCATATTAATATAATAAAAGTGTTATTTTTCTTTACATGTGCTTCATTGATGAATGGTGTTAATTAATTACTTATATTAATATTTGTGGAAAACCCAAATATATGATTAAGTTGATGTTGCATAAAATTTTAAATAAAAGTGCATTTATTTTATGCTGGAGTGCAAATACAATACATGCTGTTTTGATAAAGTACGTAAATAATGCAAAAAAAGTAAAAATAATTTAAAAACTATCAAATTAAAAGGAAGTACGTATTGTAAAACAACTCACGAGAGAATATAATTTATTTGCTTTCCTAATTACTAGGAAACTTCCAACTTCATAATAACAGCCCCCTAACTTTTAGAGAAAGTTGGAGTTTATTTGTTGAAAATAGAAAAACGATTGAGATTTGTAAGGAAGGTATTGACACGTAAGTTAAAAACGGCCACCAAAATTAAACTCCTTTTACGTTAGTGCCCTTTCATAATTAAATGCATGCATTCCTTTCCATTTTTCGGTCAATCACATGAGGTGGAGCATACGTGTGTTTTTTAAAAACCCAAGCCCTCATCTAATCTAAGCCGTACGATTACATTAGTCAATGGTTCGATTTTAATCTTTTTTGCTCTCCTAAGAGGGTTTTCTCACATGAACTAATCCCTATATATATGTATATATATATATATATATACATATATATGTGTGTATATATATAGGGGTCAGTTCAAGTAAAAAGTAGTCTTCCCATGAAAAGTGAGAATAAATCTTGACCTTTAATCACTTGAAACACTACAAGAAATGTTACATTTCTTGACACACACTTTTGTTGACACATATAAAAGTGTCATAACAACTAATAAATTTTGACACTCATATAGTCATATGTGACAAGATAACTATTTAATTTTTGTTGAAGTGTATATAATACTATCCGTATATAAACATAGCAAACTACTTGTGAAAAAGTATTCCATATTCAGGGAGTGTTTGCAACAGCTTCTGCTTTAAAAAAAGCACTTTTTGAGTGATTTGGAAAAAGTGATTATTTGTAAAAGTTGATAGTGTTTGAGAAAAAAGTGATTTTGAAAAGTAAAAGTTGGTAGTGTTTGGTAAAATAAGTGCTTTTGGTGTATAAAAAGTGGAAAAGCACTTTTGACACGAAAGCCGAGAAAAATAAAAAATTGGTAGTGTTTGGTAAATAAATGTTTTTTTAAGCCAAAAGCTGAGAAGTGCTTTTTTTAAAGTGATTGCAAACCAGCCTTCATTAGTTGGAACTTTCTTGACATTTTTTTTAAAATTGATGTACTTGTAAAATTCACTGGACGGTTAAATAAAGTTATGTACTTATTATTGCTAACACACACTTTATCAAATAAAATATTCAAATTAAAAGAGTACTGTTGGAAGCGTGGAATTTTACAAAATGACCTAAGGTATTCAATCGGCACCCTTGGACGACAGATAGAGCAAAAATCATCGCAGCTCCTTATATCATCGTTGGTTTCTCGATCAAAGCAGATTAGCAGAAGATTATCCCCTTAGAGAAACCTGCGGATTTGGTGGTACTTCTTATCTGTGTTTTTGCTAATCTGCGGCTCTCGATCTTCCTTATCTGCGTTTTTTTTGCGGGGAGCTTATCTGCAGATTTGAGCGATGGCGAATCATCCACCGCTCCTCAACCGAGTTTCCAGGACTCGTCATATATCAGTTCGTTAGTATCGCTAGTTAAAGAGGTATTGCCTCTACTTTTAAATGATTAATTGCTTAATTTGTTGCTAGAGTGATCTTGTCATTTTTTATTACGGACTTCTAAATCGATCTAATTTCCACTACCGTATCTATGTCGCTAAAATTTGTTGTTAGATGGATTGACTTTTTATAGATTTCTACTGATGTGTTTATGTTCTTATTAATAATTTTATAAATAAATGAATTGGCATATTTTGCCTTCCTTATTTGATAAAATCTGCAATGGAGTATTCAGATCTATCTAGTCTCTCTAGAATTCATGGTTTATTGATCTAATCAACAAAACATAATTATATTCATTTTTCATTACTACTTTTACACTTTAACAATTGATCTATACATTACATCTCTCACTGACCAACCAAGCTTGAGGCATCAATATCACTTTCTTTACATAGGTGGTCATCCTTCTCTCAATTTAAATGAATCTCTAATTAGGATAGACTGTTTTAATACAATGAGAGCTTTTTAGATGTATTATAAAAACTACATGAAGTATTTAGCAAGAACGAACCATATAGAGACAATTGATTTTTATATTGTTTCTACTTATTTTATGTTAAAAAGGCATCTTATTAGTGAAAGTAGCATTCCACTGAACTTTATATTACATAAGAGTTCATTTAAATGAGCTTTTAATCTTTTTATGAAGATATATTACAACTGAGTTTTTGTCTTCATAGGAAGCTTTTCGTAAGGAAGTAAAGAAGAAGTGAGTATATATGAGATCAAGAATGGCAACTTCTCAGTAAAGATCACAAACTATGGTGTACTGTAATCTCTGTTATCTTTTCTGATAAAATGGTTTGGTTCTTCATGCCCTTTTCCCTATTCTTAATGTAAATATAGACTTTCCTACAGGTTAATTAGCCTAAGATATTCTTTTTTAATCTTTGGCTAGGAAAACTGGAAGATGTTGTTCTTGGCTTCGACTCCGTCAACGATTACAAGGTTAATTAGTTAGTTAAAGCTAGAATATATTCAAAATCCAATCTTTAATTAGTTTCAATTTAATGATCTGTGAAATAAAGTATGAGTTTTTTCTTTTTGCAACAAAAATGCAGAATGACAAAGCTTCTTTTGGTGTCATACTTGGGCGGGTAGCTAACAGGATTGGAGGAGCAAAATTCAAGCTTAATGGCACTCTGTACAGATTGCCAGCAAATGATCATGGAAACACTCTCCATGGTCTGTATTTAATTTCCTTCTGTTTTTTTAGACTGCCAAAAACACTCTCCATGATCATGAGATTAACGTCATGTTTTAAAACTGAACTAAACTTGTAATGTTAT